TGTTTTCTAAAAACAAATTATCTAATTACTTATAAATTTAAATCACATTTTCCATGCATTTCCTCTAAATTCCAAGCAAAACAAATCCATAACTCACTTGCACAATAGGCATATGATATCCTAACTCCCACTAAAAACCCTTTTCTGCCACCTTTAAATTGATTGTCAATGCAAATATCTTAGCTTCCACATCAAACCTTCGGAAGCAAACTCCACCTCACTCCAAATAAAACCAATAAAAGGAACATATATCAAGTTTTTTTCACAACATGGGAATCTGCAGAATAATTTCACCTCTGCACCTGGCCAGATTTCGAACTATACTCTAATATTGATGCCCAATTCTTTTTATCCCACTCAACTTTAATTTCAAATCTCTTCAACTCATAATTGTAAACCGGTGTTATCTGTTAATATGATTCATGAGTTTATATCAAAATCATCTTTAAGATGTATATTATATTGATATCTATGTGTAATCCAAATCTATTAAATCAAACTAATACACTCGTACATATTTAATCCACTGTAAAAAATTTAATGTCTCAATAGACTGAAACATAGGCTAATATTAATCAGAATAGACCAGCACTGAAAGCGTAATGAAAAAATCTTTTTTGACGATGCAATACAAATTTAATGATATACGACTTGAACATAAAACCTTTCTTCAATTAAAACACTGAGGCCTGTACCTGGATTAGAAAAGCTCATTATATTTTCGTAACATTCTGATTTAAAAGAAGTTGCTTTTTAACCACAGGCAACTGTTGTCCATGAGGCTCCACTTCCTTATACCTTTAAATATTCTTTTCAGAACCTCCCAAATTCCTTTCATTTCCGGTAACTTTGCAAGTATGTTTGAATGGTGACTTGTCCACTAACCTGATAAAGTGTTTTTAGCTCGACTATTCAGCTAATGCAGTCACCCATTTGTCAGCGTCCCTGTGGTTAAGTTTTTGCGTGTAAGCTGGTATCTCCATAACTACTGAAGGGAATGGATTGAAACTTTACACACTTGATCTCTGTGATTATCTTACATGATTGGCACAAGTCTCATAACTCTGATTTGCTTTTTTGGCATAATTATGCCCCTTTTGCGACTTGGAAATTCTTGGTTAAGTTTTTGCTTGCAAGCTGGTATCTCCATAACTACTGAAGGGAATGGATTGAAACTTCACACACTTGTTCTCTGTGATTATTTAACATGATTGGCACAAGTCCCATAGCTCTGATTTGCTTTTTTTTGCATAATTATGCCCCTTTTTCGACTTTGAAATTCTTGGTTAAGTTTTTGCGTGCAAGCTGGTATCTCCATAACTACTGAAAGGAATGGATTGAAACTTCACACACTTGTTCTCTGTGATTATTTTACATGATTGGCACAATTCCTATAACACTGATTTGCTTTTTTGTATAATTATGGCCATTTTTCGATGATTATTTAAAATTATTTATTCTGATTTTTTTTTCTCCATAATTATGCACTTTTTTAGGCTTAGAAATTCTTGGTTTTTGCTTTTAAGCTGGTATCTCCATAACTACAGAAGGGTTTGTGCTTTTTTTGGAACAATTTTATGCATTCATAATAATAAAGCAGTGATTCACTCAATAAAACATCTTAATAACAAGCCTTTGTACTGTTTTGGACAATTTTATGTATTCATATAGGTAAGCATTATACTCAATGAAACACACTTGTGACAACTTTTCGAATAGTCAAGCGTTACTGTCCTCCGACAGTTCTAATGTTTCTAATATAATTCTGTAGTTGCTGTAGAAAAGCAAATTGTTCATTATACTTCTACAAAAACCTACACATGTTCAACATGCCAATTATTTACCATGTGCACTCTTCTTAGAGCTACGCAAACCACAATACGACCTGTACAGTACAATGCTTAGTCCTCGCAAACCACAATACGACCTGTACAGTACAATGCTTAGTCCTCACAAACCACAATACAACCTGTACAGTACAATGCTTAGTCCTCACAAACCACAATACGACCTGTACAGTACAATGCTTAGTCCTCGCAAACCACAATACGACCTGTACAGTACAAAATGAAGTCCTCGCAAACCACAATACGACCTGTACAGTACAATGCTTAGTCCTCGCAAACCACAATACGACCTGTACAGTACAATGCAAAGTCCTCCCAAACCACAATACGACCTGTACAGTACAATGCTTAGTCCTCGCAAACCACAAAACGACCTGTACAGTACAATGCAAAGTCCTCGCAAAACCACAATACAACCTGTACAGTACAAAACGAAGTCCTTGCAAACCACAATACAACCTGTACAGTACAATGCGAAGTCCTCGCAAACCACAATATGGCCTGTACAGTACAATGCGAAGTCCTCACAAACCACAATACGACCTGTACAGTACAATGCCTAGTCCTCGCAAACCACAATACAACCTGTACAGTACAATGCTTAGTCCTTGCAAACCACAATACGACCTGTACAGTACAATGCTTAGTCCTCGCAAACCACAATACGACCTGTACAGTACAATGCTAAGTCCTAGCAAACCACAATACGACCTGTACAGTACAATGCAAAGTCCTCACAAACCACAATACAACCTGTACAGTACAATGCTTAGTCCTCGCAAACCACAATACGACCTGTACAGTACAATGCTTAGTCCTCGCAAACCACAATACTACCTGTACAGTACAATGCGAAGTCCTCGCAAACCAAAATACGACCTGTACAGTACAATATGAAGTCCTCGCAAACCTCAATACAACCTGTACAGTACAATGCGAAGTCCTCGCAAACCACAATACGACCTGTACAGTACAATGCAAAGTCCTCGCAAACCACAATACGACCTGTACAGTACAATGCAAAGTCGTCGCAAACCACAATACGACCTGTACAGTAAAATGCAAAGTCATCGCAATCCACAATACGACCTGTACAGTACAATACGAAGTCCTCGCAAGCCACAATACAACCTGTACAGTACAATGCTTAGTCCTCGCAAACCACAATACAACCTGTACAGTACAATGCTTAGTCCTCGCAAACCACAATACTACCTGTACAGTACAATACGAAGTCCTCGCAAACCAAAATACGACCTGTACAGTACAATGCGAAGTCCTCGCAAACCACAATATGACCTGTACAGTACAATACGAAGTCCTCGCAAACCACAATATGACCTGTACAGTACAATACGAAGTCCTCTTCGAATGGCTTATCTTAGAATCTGCCTGTCAATTACATAATACACTAGCACGAAATTATGGTGCTAACTATGACACAACTAATTTAATTGATATTTATAACTCTGAAACTGCAATAAAAACACACATAATCAGTTCAATGGAAAAAAAACGCTTTTCATATTTTAGCTTTCGACGTTTAGTCTTTTTCAGAAAATATTGGCGTTTATAAAATAACAAATGATGCAGCGTCTGTTTAACTATACGCTAAACAGAATGTGATGTTAACGCGGAAATAAAAACTTTGTTTAATAAATAAAGAATCTTTCATGAACATAAATACAGCAATATTGTGACAATATAATATGGAACTGCACATGTGATACAAAAATTCTCATCATTAATAATAATAAAAAACCTTGAATTATAAGAAAAAACAATTATGTATTATAACCATCCGAATGATATGCTTGAAAGATGACAATTTGAGTTACGTATTACATTGTACAAAACTTTTGCATTCATACCATAAGGAGATAATGTGTGAATGGACCAGTATGATTCTTGTAAAAAAAAATTTTAAAGGTAAAATTAATGAAATTTTCTTGCTTTTTTCCCTGTAACTGGCTATAACTTTGTTATCTATAAATGGATTAACATAATTTTAACCTTCAAGTTTACATCAAACTAAAAATGCCCTTGACACATATATGACCTTGACTTTCAAGGTCAATTTATTATATTTTCACTGATTATCACTTTATTTTGCGGTAACTTGTAATTTATTTACAGATTTGATTCATACTTGGACAAAAAACAAGACATGATGATTAATTTTAATTTTTACTTGACCTTTAATCCAGGTCAATTTGTTAACAAACAACAATGTTTTTTGGAGAACTCTTTACTAAAATATTCTTCTTCTGTTGTGTTTGGCTGTAGAATTAAGAAAAAGTCCCTGCTTAAGGTGGTGGCTCTTCTTAGTTTTTTATTGTGAAGCTAGAGTGAACTAAATTCATAATGAGATGTTTTCACAGGATTGAGTAGCTTAATATTGTTTATATCATTATTTGAGCTTTCCAAGCTGGCTTAGAATTAGCTTTTAGGATGCTTAAATGTCCTTCATCTGTTGTCCATCAACATTTTGTTTGTTAACATTGTAGTGGTCACATGTTTGCCTCAATTGTTACAAAACTTGGTCAGGATGTTTGTCCCAGTAACTGGTCAAATGAGTTCAAACGATGAAAAACTAGAGCAAAACAAAGAAAATTCTTATTAACACTCTAGGGGCTATTGCTTCAAGCTTCAATTCAAATATGCTGGAAATTGGTTAGAAAGGTTGTTTACATTTGCACTATTTCAGGCACAGATTTTAACATTAACCATGATATCAGTTTAAGAATATGACATATTATCTGGTTTCCATTCATAGCTAGCAATATTAATTGGTCCTTGTCATTAAGAGTGATCAGATGAATGTTATAATGATGGCCCACATGCTGTCTCTTGTCTCTTGCAGAGAAATTGGTAAATACTGGTTTGTTTATCTAATAATGTATTTACTTTATAGAAAAGAAATGGATGAGGGGTGAAGTGTCTTATTGATTTTTTTTTTTTTTTTGGGGGGGGGGGGGTTTTTTGAGGGGTGAAATGTCTTCAAAATTTGAGGAGTGCAGTGTCTGGGGTGTAAAGTATCTTGCTACCCTCTACAGTAGGCCTTGTATCAGCTTTAAGCTCACCTGTGGATTTTGTTTAAGCTTGATATGTTCACTTCTTAGATCTACATGTAAGTTCTGCATCTAACACTTGGTCCTATGGTACTGCTTTCAGGATTGGGTGTTTTTGCTGAAGAGTACATAAAAAGGGACATTTTGTTTGTTTCCATGAGGGTTTTGGTCCTTTCTGGTGAAGAGAGATTGAAGAGGTTCAGTAGTGAGCATGAAATTGTTAGTAGGGAGCTTCCTGTTTTTCTCACGACACAATGGACAAGAATTTAGGTAAGTTTCTGCCATTTACATACCCGGAGATCCTGTGTCCTATGACAAAGCATTTTTTCCTTCTATAACAAGGGCCACTGTTTGGCCCCTTCACAATTCAAAATTGCACTTTTTAGCTCACCTGTCACAAAGTGACGGGGTGAGCTTTTGTGACCGCTTTTCGTCCGGCGTCGGTAAACTTTTACTTTAAATGACATCTCCTCATAATGTGCTGAGCCAATTTCATCCAAACTTCACAGGAATGTTCCTTTGGTGGTTACCTTTAAAATTTGTTCAAAGAATTTAATTCCATGCAGAACTCTGGTTGCCATGGCAACCAATAGAAAAAACTTAAAATATCTTCTTTTAAAAAACCCAAAGAGGTAGAGCTTAGATATTTAGCATGAAACATCTTCTAGTGAGTGTCTATCAATTTTGTTCAAATAAAAGCCCTGGGGTCAAAATTGGCCCCGCCCCGGGGTCATTGATTTTCCCTATATGCATATAGTAAAAACTTTAAAATTCTTCTTTTAAAGAACCCAAAAGAGCTAGAGCTAAGATATTTAGCACGAAACATCTTCTAATGAGTGTCTATCAAGTTTGTTCAAATAAAAGCCCTGGGGTCAAAATTGGCCCCACCCCTGGGGGTCATTGATTTTCCCTATATGCATGAAGTAAAATCTTATAAAATCTTCTTTTAAAGAACCCAAAGAGCTAAAGCTAAGATATTTAGCATGAAAGATATTCTAATGAGTGTCTTCCAAATTTTTTCAAATAAGAGCCCTGGGGTCAAAATTGGCCCTACCCCGGGGGGTCATTGATTTTCCTCATATGTTTATTTTCAAAAACAAAAAAAAATCTTCTTTGAAAAAACCCAAATAGCTAGAGTTTAGATACTAAGCATGAAACATCTTCTAGTGAGTGTCTACAAAGTTTGTTCAAATAAAAGTCATTGGGTCAAAATTGGTCCCGCCCCGGGGGTCATTGATTTTATTTATGTGTATAGCAAAAACTTAAAAAATCATCTTTGAAAAAACCCAAATAGCTAGAGTTTAGATATTAAGCATGAAACATCTTCCATTTAGTGTCTTCAAAGTTTGTTCAAATAAAAGCCCTAAGGTCAAAATTTGGCCTTGCCCGGGGGACATCAAATTTTCCTATATGTGTATAGCAAAAACTTAAAAATCTTCTTTAAAAAAAACAAATAGCTAGAGTTTAGATATTAAACATGAAACATCTTCTAGTGAATGTCTTCAAAGTTTGTTCAAATAATAGCCCTTGGGTCAAAACTGGCCCCGCCCTAGGGGTTTCATTGCTTTCAACTATATGTGTAACTATAGTTAAAACTTTAAAAATCTTTTTTAAAAAACTCAACGAGTTAGACCTTAGATGTTTAGCATGAAACATCTTTGAATGGGTGTCTACAAAGTTTGTTCAAATAAAAGCCCTGGGGTTTAAACTGGCCCCTCTCTGGGGGCCTATATACAGGTGAGCGACTTCAGGGCCATGATGGCCCTCTTGTTTTACAAAGCGGCAAAAAAAATCACAATTTTAAAAGAGATTTCACAAAATATGTGGACTTTGTCTTCTAAAGTTATCATTGTTTACCTTCATGTAAAACTTGATTTTCGCCATTTGCAAACAGGTAAATTAGTTTAATTAAATTAAATGGTATCTGCGCTGGATTACCGCCTTACTGTTTAAGGATCAACTCCAAGCAGACTTTACACAGGCCAGAAATTATTAGCAAAGGTTCATTGCACTCTGTTTCTGGTTTCAAAATGTCATGAAATGGCAAATATTATGTCATGTGTTCACAATTTTATGACATATTGAGCTTTTTTTACATAATGAACAGGTCCCTTCATAAGTTTGACAAAATATGCCCTCTATGGACACATTTCTAGTTTTAAAACAGAAGCCTAACCAAATTATAATGGTCCTGGGACAAAATACCCACCCTAATACAAATATGCTTTAAAATGACAAAAGGTCAGCCATGTAAAGGTAGACATAATTTGTAGACATCAGTCTATATAAATGAAAATAGTATAAATGTGTTAACAATTTTACTTCTAACATTTACTGTAAAATCATTATTATTCGTTGGGCACGAACTTTCGTGGTTTTCGTGGGAAGGTCAATCCACGAATTTAAGATCCGACGAAATTTTATCCTAACAAATATTTCTTGCCATGTCTCTATTCTATATGTTACAAACATGCATCAGCGCTTTTCCGCCGATTTGTGTGTAATGAATGCCCAGAGGCAAGGGTTAAATTTTTTGACACGTAAAGATATGGACATGCGGTAAGTATAATGCGCGGCGATTATGTTTAAGATTACTTTGCATTAGGTTATATTTTTTTTTACAAGAAATTGAAAATCCACGAATTTAAGAACCCACGAAAATGCCCGTTTTGATAAAACCACAAAATTTCATGCCCACGAATATAAGTGAATTCGCAGTATTAACATTGGCTGGCACAAATTTCTCAGTCATTCATGTTTAATACCTGTAGGAACTTTTAAAATTATTATACATTTGATCTCTTTACCAGGCCTGCAGAATATTAATTTTACTTAGAAATTGTTTTTATACCCCCAAAACTAAGTTTGGGGTCACCCGGTGGTTGGTTGGTAATGGTCGGTCGGTAGGTCCAGATGTCTGTTGTATTTTCCATTTCCAGAGCATAACTTGAAGATTTATGGTTGGAATTCAATATAACTACATACAATGGTCAAGCACATTAAGAGGAAGTGCAGTGCACAAGAACCATAACTATATCTTGACTAATTACAGAGTTATTGCCCTTTGTTATTTTTCCTTGTCCGGGGCATAACTTGAAAACTACTGGTTGGAATTAAAAACAACATCATACTATTGTCAAACACAATAAGGGGAAGTGCAGTGCACAAGAACCATAACTCTATCTAAAGTAATTACAGAGTTATTGCCCTTTGTTACTTTTCATTGCTTTCTTTTGTCCGGACCATAACTTGAAGACTAATTGTTGGAATTCATTAAAACTTCATACAATGGTCAAGCACTTTGAGAGGAAGTGCAGTGCACAAGAACTATAACTCTTTCTTGACTAATTACAGAGTTATTGCCCTTTGTTACTTTTCCTTGTCCGGGGCGTAACTTGAAAACTACTAGTTGGAATTAAAAACAACTTCATACAATTGTCAAACACAATAAGGGGAAGTGCAGTGCACAAGAACCATAACTCTATCTAAAGTAATTACAGAGTTAATGCTCTTTATTACTTTTCCATTGCTTTCTTTTGTCTGGACCACTACTTTAAGACTAATTGTTGGAATTCATTATTACTTCATACAATGGTCAAGCACTTTGAGAGGAAGTGCAGTGCTTAAGAACCATAACTCAATCTTGACTTATTACAGAGTTACTGCCCTTTGCTACTTTTCCTTGTCCAAAGTATGACCTGAAAACTACTGGTTGGAATTCAAAACAACTTCAAACAATGGTCAAGCACAATAAGAGGAAGTGCATGCAAAAGAACCATAACTCCATCTTGACTAATTACAGAGTTATTGCCCTTGTTACTTTTCCATTGCTTTTTTGTCCCGAGCATAACTGGAAGACTAATTGTTGGAATACATTATAACTTCATACAATGGTCAAGCACATTGAGAGGAAGTGCAATTCACAAGAACCATAACTCCATGTTGACTTATTACAGAATTATTGCCCTTTGTAACTTTTTCTTGTCCAGAGCATAACTTAAAAACTACTGTTTGTAATTCAATACAACTTCATACAGTTGTCAAGGACATTAAAAGGAAGAGCAGTGCACAAGAGCCATAAATCTATTTTGACAAAATACAGAGTTACTGCCCTTTGATACTTTTTCTTGTCCAGACCATAACTTAAAACGTACTGGTTGGAATTCAAAACAACTTCATACAATGGTCAAGCACAATAAGATTTATAGAGTTATTGCCCTTTGTTCCTTTTCCTTGTCTTTCTGGACTTATTACAAAGTAATTCAATAAAACTTCATCAATGGCCAACCACATTGAAAGGAAATGCAACACACAAGAACCACAACTATCTTTAAATGCCCACAACCATAACTCTATATTTTAATTCTTTTACAAGGTATTCTGTTACTAGTAACATCCTCATTTCCGAAGCAGTCTTGTGGGGGTATTAATCACATTAAGTGATATTTCTAGTTAATGAAATTAATGCACCATTGTTCCTTTATTAATTAATTCTAACCACAGTTAAATAAATGTTGCACAACTAAATAATCAACTCTTTGGCTCTTTAAAACTGCTTCATTAATGCGTTTGCTTTAAATCATTTCACAATATTTTCCATTCACTGCTAAATTTGGCTGATATCTTAATACAGGAATTACAAGGTCATAAAAACAAGAAATCCCACCCTAAGAAATACCATGCCAAGGCTGTCACGGTCACCAACTGGTTTTCTTTTTTTCTTGCAGTATTGATGCAAGTCACAGCAAGTACCGATTCTCCCAAGTGGAAAAGTAAGGAGGTGGTTGAGCAGAAAGAAGAAATATAGCTGACTTTTTATACCATAAAAAACATCAAAAAGAGCCAGGAACTTAGATTTGATTATAATAACAAATCTGTACATAGTCGCAAAGTAAGTATTGAAAATTATATAGTATGTTTATAATTATAATTGGTGAAGGCAATTATTAAAGATACATTGTAGGTTTGTTTTTAGGTCACCTGTCACAAAGTGACAAGGTGAGCTTTTGTGATCGCTTTTCGTCCGGCGTCCGGCCGGCGTCCATCCGTCGTCCGTAAACTTTTACTTTAAATGACATCTCCTCATAAACCACTAAGCCAATTTCATCCAAACTTCACAGGAATGTTCCTTTGGTGGTCACCTTTAAAAATTGTTCAAAGAATTTAATTCCATGCAGAACTCTGGTTGCCATGGCAACCAAAAGAAAAAAATTAAAATATCTTCTTCTAAAAAACCCAAAGAGCTAAAGCTTAGATTTTTGGCATGAAACATCTTCTGGTGAGTGTCTATCAAGTTTGATCAAATAAAAGCTCTGGGGTCAAAATTGGCCCCACCCCAGGGGGTCATTGATTTTCCCAATATGCATATAGTAAAAACTTAAAAAATCTTCTTTTAAAGAACCCAAAGAGCTAGAGCTTAGATATTTAGCATAAAACATCTTCTAATGGGTGTCTACGAAGTTTGTTCAAATAAAAGCCCAGGGGTCAAAATTGGCCCTGCCCCAGGGGGTCATTGATTTTCACTATATGCATATAGTAAAAACTTAAAAAATCTTCTTTTAAAGAACCAAAAGAGCTAGAGCTAAGATATTTAGCATGAAACATCTTCTAATTGATGTCTACCAAGTTTGTTCAAATAAAAGCCCTGGGGTCAAAATTGGCCCCGCCCCAGGGGGTCATTGATTTTCCTTATATGCATATAGTAAAAACTTAAAAAATCTTCTTTTAAAGAACCAAAAGAGCTAGGGCTAAGATATTTAGCATGAAACATCTTCTAATGGATGTCTACCAAGTTTGTTCAAATAAAAGCCCTGGGGTCAAAATTGGCCCCGCCCCAGGGGGTCATTGATTTTCCCTATATGCATAAAGTAAAAACTTAAAAAAAATCTTCTTTTATAGAACCAAAAGAGCTAGAGCTAAGATATTTAGCATGAAACATCTTCTAATGGATGTCTACTAAGATTGTTCAAATAAAAGCCCTGAGATCAAAGTTGGCCCCACCCCAGGGGGTCATTGATTTTCCATTTATACATACCGTAAAATTCCTATTAAGCGCCCCTGCCCTAATAAAGGCCCCCCCAGGTTTTTTGACAAGGAAAAAAAATTACTCACCAGTGAAAAATTCAAAAGTAAATCCAAAACTATTCAAATCCTTCAAAATCCACTTTATTTAATCGATAACACAAAAAAGAATCATAAAGTTTTAAAACTTTTAACACTTTTAACATTAATTAACACTTAACGTAACAGTACAATATCCAATGGCACGTGTACATATGTACATAGAAATGTACCGTGACTCTTACGTTTTTAGAAAAGTTAATGACCAGGACTGTCACAGTCAGACACCTGATCATCTGAATCACTGTTTTGATCAGATTCAGACAGTTCTGCAGCCACATTTTCCAGCACCTGCTCACTTATGTTCACATCATCGGGATCGAACCCTTCAAAGTCAGATTCAACAGTTTCGTCATCAGAAGCGTGATTAAAGAGATGATCTTCAGTTCCATCCAGCTCTGTAGAAATCCCGCACTTTTTAAATGATTTCCTAATCATTTCAGGGGTAACAGTATCCCAGGCAGTTTTAATCCACTTGAGAATCAGAGACTTGGGGGTGCCCTTCGATTCCCGGCAGGATTTAAGTCCACAGGCCCAGAAAACAGCCACTCGTCATATAATTCAGCAAACTTTCCCTTAAATGGTTTGTTCCATGAAACGTCTGCCGGCTGTTAACGTGACGTGCAGCCTCCTGGTATAACACTCATGTCAGTGTTGCAGTGTGTACGTAAATAATCCTTGACCTTATCAGTCAAATGAGCGCGAAATGCGTCCCAAACAAGTAAGCGCCTGCTTGTTTGATTTCTGCCCCAGAGTTTTTTCAACCAAAATAAAATGCTCTCTTCATTTGCCCAAGATTTTTTACCGCTGCCGCACATGTACACGATAATTCCACATGGAATGTCACCTCTAGGTAAAGGTCGTACTCCAGGCAAATGGACCAGTGGCGAAAGTTTTGTTCCGTCTGCATAGGCGCCTAAAGTGACGGTGATTTTCTCTTTTTCGCCTCCTGTAGATTTTACAGTTATATTATTCTGTCCACGAATGTCATACGTTGCTTTCCCGGGCATTTCAAGATAAACAGGCGTTTCATCCATATTGCCTATTTCTGACAAGTTATAATTTCTTAACTGGCGCATACGAATAACAAAACGTAGAAATTTGTCAATAAGTCCATCAGTAATTTCAACTGATTTCTGGGCAATGTGGGTAGTGCGACGGAATGAAATGTTATGACGTCGTTTAAAGCACCTAAACCAACCGCAGGATGCCTTAAATGACTGTGACCCGTTCTGTTGGTGTAATCTAAGTGCTTCATGTCTTAGGGCCTTCCCAGTAACACGCACTCCTTTCCCCCGACGTTCATTAAACCACAGCAACAGCTGCTGGTCAATGTCTCTGTATCGAACTTGCCGACCCCCGCCAGGTGCACGTTTACGACTCTTGCAGGCAGCTGCTTGCAACGTTTCTTTTGCCTTACACCACTCTCGAATGCGTTTCCTGTCAACATTAAATAATTTGCTTGCCTTGTGTTTACCAACTTGCTCGGCAATACCAACAACTTTTAACTTAAAAGAAGCGCTATAAAATCGATGTGTTGGTTGCTTTTGCTCCATGATTAAGCAGTTAAATTTAATCAGTGTTATGTGTATTGTTAAATATACATTGTCTACACATTTATCGATCGATTACGTCACCGAGCCACCTGTGAGACAGATAAACATGACTGAGGTCACGTAGGCCATAAACTGATGCTGTTTACATGAATTAATCTGGCATTGCTTGATTTTACGATTTTTTGGATTTAGGAAAAAATGTGTTTTAATAAACGCCCCCCCTTTGGAAAATGTTACGCCCCGGGGGGCGTTTAATAGGAATTTTACGGTATAGTAAAAACTTTAAAAAATCTTCTTCTAAAGAACCCAAAGAGCTAGAGCTAAGATATTTAGCATGAAACATCTTCTAATTGGTGTCTACCAAGTTTGTTCAAATAAAAGCCCTGGGGTCAAAATTGGCCCCGCCCCAGGGGGTCATTGATTTTCCCTATATGTATATAGTAAAAACTTAAAAAATCTTCTTTTAAAGAACCAAAAGAGCTAGAGCTAAGATATTTAGCATTAAACATGTTCTAATAGGTGTCTACCAAGTTTGTTCAAATAAAAGCCCTGGGGTCAAAATTGGCCCTGCCCCGGAGGTCATTCATTTTCCCTATATGTGTAAAACTATAGCAAAAATTGAAAAATCTTCTTTGAAAAAACTCAAATAGCAAGAGTTTAGATATTAAGCATGAAGCCTCTTCTAGTGAGTGTCTTCAAAGTTTGTTCAAATAGAAGCCTTGGAGTCAAAATTGGCCCCGTCCCGGGGGACATTGATTTTCCTTATACAAGTATAGCAAAATACAAGAAAAACAATACAAGTGGAACAAACAATCAACACAGGATAAGTTTTAAGGTTTATTTAATGATGATAACCGACGTTTCGACTCTCACGAGTCTTCATCAGGGTTATAAAATATCAGAATAATAGAAAAATCATTGTCTAACGTACAAAAATCGGGTATACTTTACGTCACGTGATTTGTTCTAAAAATAGTTTAAATTATGTCATTTTGGGTTTACCCCATAATCTATATTTAGCTGTATACTTTTAAGAAAAAATACCGTAAATGGAATAAATGTTTATGTTAACGTCATTCAGTGTTTCTTTTTCATCCTGGCAATTGGTTGATGTACTTGTGTGGCTGCTGCACGGCGACGGATTGTTACTTCTAAAGGGTGACAGTTGAAGTGGGGATAATTCCGGATCTATTATCATTTCTTTTAAAATTTCGTCCGTTGTTGATTGTGGTGTATTCTGTAGCCATGATTTAACGCCGGGTATTATACGGAATTTCGGTATGGTATAAGTATAGCAAAAATTTAAAATCTTCTTTTAAAAAACCCGAATAGCTAGAGTTTAGATATTAAGCATGAAACATTTTCAGTAAGTGTCTACAAAGATTGTTCAAATAAAAGCCCTGGGGTCAAAACTGGCCCTGCCCCAGGTGTGTCATTGTTTTTAAGTATATGTGTAAAGAAAAAACTTAAAAAAATCTTCTTTTAAAAATCCCAACGAGCTAGACCTTAGATGTTTAGCATGAAACATCTTCTAATGGTTGTCTACAAAGTTTGTTCAAATAAAAGCCCCGGGCTTTAAACTGGCCTTGCTCCGGGGGCCTATGTACAGGTGAGCGACTTCAGGGCCATCATGGCCCTCTTGTTTTCTTTTCTAATCCCAATCCACATTTGAAAGTTACAAAATAAAATTATTGAATAAAAAAATGTAAGTTAGACAATAAGTGAAATACATTGTTAGGATTAAGATGTATATTTGTTGGGTCATGACCCAATACTTAGGTATCCTATAGTATATAATTGAAATGTAGTATTAATAAACTTCCCAATACAGACACTGAGAAAACTGACATTCACCATAATGAGATGGTTTGTAGCACACAAAATCATGGTCCGCTTCTCAAAGGTCAAGGTCACACTTGGGAGTCAGTGCTCCAAAACCTGTGTCTGGAGCGTAACATCCACATGCAAGGAGGGATTCAGATATAATTTGGAACAAATTTTCTTCATACATGTATCAAGTCTGGAGTAAAGTGCTAAAAATTCAAGTGTTTGTGGTTAAGGTGAGGGTCAAGGTCACATTTAGAGGTCAAAAGTCAAAAAAACAAAACAAAACGTCCATTTGAGAGTTTAACTTCATTAATATATGGACAGATTTTATATAACTTAAGCGCAAATATTCTCCATGTTGATTTTTCATGTTGTTAAATAAATTGGC